ATGGCTGCTGATATTCCCTTCTAAGGTAGTGTTCATGATATTTTTCATCGGTAGTGTTCATGATATTTTTCATTGGTAGTGTTCATGATATTTTTCATTGGTGGCGTTCATGATATTGTTTATTGATTGTGTTCATGATACTGTCTACTAATGTAGTATTTAAGATAATGTCTTCTAATGTGGTGTTTGTGATATTATCTGCTAGGGTAGTGTTTGTATTATTATTTGTTAACTAAGGTAGTGTTTTTGATTTTCTCTGTTGGAAGTGTTCATATTATCATCAACTAAGATAGTATTCATGATATTGTCCACCGAATTAAGTGTTCAATATATATGTTTATTCTGATCGTTTTAAACATTTGTGTTTACCAGAATGTGTGAATATCATTGTGTCAGATATGATAAATAAATTTCCTGTTTTTGAAAAAAAAAACTTAAATTGATTCAATTAGAAGCCACACAGTATATGGTACAACAACAACTGATAATAAATGATAACTAATAAGATAATTTACATTTTTGATCGAAAACAATTGATCATCCTAATAGTTCTGAATTACTTAAATCTCTTGAAACCACTTCAGAATAGATATGAGCAAATTTCTTTGGTTACAATATCTAGAGTAATTGATAATGATGTTGATATTAACATAATAACTGTATATCTATTATCAAGAGATTTTTGCAAGATTCTCCGAATATTTGATATTGGTACAGTGGCTGTTTAATCGTATAAAGTGGGTGATTATTGACAGGTTAGTAATTGATTTAGGTTTACCGATGAGGAAATTGGTTAAATATTCTTACTCACTATTTGCGGAAGTATCTAAAATCTCGATTTTGTTGGCAAAGTGTTACGTTACTGTTACTTTAATCGAGATAATTTAATATTTTTTTTTTATAATTATGATAACAATGTACTTGTGTCAATATAAAAGGTTTCAAATTATTTCAGGTAGAATCGAGTTGAAACATTTTATTGTTAGTGCTGAAGTTGGAAAAGTTTTCGCGATGATTGCCAATTTATTTGATATACTGTGTTCCGTTTTGATCCGTTGAATCGAGAACTTTTAAGTGTTGTCAAATTGTGTCACTACGTTTGTATTATCTACGTGGTTTTTGTGTCGCCTCTACGGAGTAGTGGCGACATATAGGGATCACTTCTCCGTCGTCTGTCTGTCTGTCTGTCCGTCCGTCCGTCACAAAACTTGTCCGGACTACTCCTCATAAACTACTGGTGCAATTTCATCCAAACTTTACAGGAATGATCAGTACCAAGTCTAGTTGTGCATATTGTCAGCATTTTCCGGTTCAATAATTTTTGTCAGAGTTATGGCTCTTTGATAATTTTTAATTTTAAAGTTTGTCCGGACTACTTCTCTTATACCACTAATGCAATTTCAATGAAACTTTACAGGATTAATCTGTAGCTCAAGTCCTTGCGCATATTGCAGGGGTTTTCCGGTTGAATGATTTTTGGCCGAGTTATGGCCCTTTGATAAAAAGGTTTATTTTTCTGTGTGTTGCCAGATACACAAAAGCTTGTCCGGACTACTCCTCATAAACTACTGGTGCAATTTCATCCAAACTTTACAGGAATGATCAGTACCAAGTCTAGTTGTGCATATTGTCAGCATTTTCCGGTTCAATGATTTTTGTCAGAGTTATGGCCCTTTAATAATTTTTATTTTTAAAGTTTGTCCGGACTACTTCTCTTATACCACTCATGCAATTTCAATGAAACTTTACAGGATTGAACTGTAGCTCAAGTCCTTGCGCATATTGCAGGGGTTTCCCGGTTGAATGATTTTTGGCCGAGTTATGGCTCTTTGATAAAAAGGTGTTTTTTTTCTGTGTGTTGCCAGATAATCAAAATCTTGTCTGGACTACTCCTCATAAACTACTGGTGCAATTTTATCTAAACTTTACAGGAATGATCAGTACCAAGTCTAGTGGTGCATATTGTCAGCATTTTCCGGTTCAATGATTTTATCAGAGTTATGGCCCTTTAATAATTTTTATTTTTAAAGTTTGTCCGGACTACTTCTCTTATACCACTCATGCAATTTCAATGAAACTTTACAGGATTGAACTGTAGCTCAAGTCCTTGCGCATATTGCAGGGGTTTCCCGGTTGAATGATTTTTGGCCGAGTTATGGCCCTTTAATAAAAAGGTGGTTTTTTTCTGTGTGTTGCCAGATACGCAAAAGCTTGTCTGGACTACTCCTCATAAACTACTGGTGCAATTTTATCCAAACTTTACAGGAATGATCAGTACCAAGTCTAGTTGTGCACTGTCTGTCAGTCTGTCACAAAATTTGTCCCAACATGAAATTGGCCATCATGAGGCGACACATGTGATTACTGATCGCTCTTGTTTTAAAAACACAGGTGTTCCCTCTCACATGCATCCCGGTTTTGTTGGAGATGTATATTGCACGACCAGTGTTGGATACTTTTACTTGATTTTGGTATAGGATTATCACCAAGGTGTTGAACTTTGTGCATTCTGACAAATTTGACATGTAATTGAATACAATAAAGAGATGTAAACTTTATTTTGAATACAAAATCTTGAGGAATACTCTTTGAAAACTTTCACAAGATGGGTGAAAAAAAAACTTACATAAAGTTTTAAAGCTGCGAAACTGATGTTCAAGTTATATTGATGAATTTGATCGGATATTTAATTTAGTGAAATACTTTGAATGATATAGCTCGGAGCATTACATTGCTGAATTATTTTAACGATGGATTAGTCAGGAAACAATTACGAAAATGCAAAGTAGACTTGTGCGAAGGTTTAGTCGGAATAAAAGTAGTTCCGAGAAAAATGGTTCTCCCGAAAAAGAGAAACGAAGACTTTCGAAAAGTAAAAGCGTAAGTACATGGGTTAATAGATAAACTCTTTATTGTACTGCTTTTTTCTGTTTTGTTTAACAAAAGAAATCATTAACTCTTACCATGTTAAAGGGACTCCACTGACGTTTTTTGACATGATGGTACTGAAAATATTTTTTTCCAGATAAATGTCCCATATGATGTGGGTTTAGACCACTAATCTTTGTGCAACATTTCAGATCATTTGCGCACTTAGTTTTTCCGGAATAATTATTCAAATTGTAAAAAAATGACCCAAAATGAAAAGCGTTTAAACGCTTTTCACTCAAATCTAGCTAAGAAAAGCATAAAAATACGATTTTCAATTTATTTCAAAGTATATTTCTTAACAATCTTTGCATATGTTTCTGTTTAAAGTGCCCCAGCTTATTTATGTAAGAAACTCAAATGTTATGTTTTAAGGCTTTTAAACCTCAGTGGAGTCCCTTTAAATAGACTTGCCCATCTTTCAAATTGGACAAAATATGGTTCATGATTTTAAGGTATATTTGAAAGTATGTGCTGATTGAGAGTAGTGTACAGTGTAGACCATGATCAGTGCTGTCTTACTATGATGGTCAGTAGTGAACAGTACAGACGATATCTAATAAGGGTCTGCACTGGTCGCATAGCAAAGAATATTTTGCCGCCAGCAGGCTAAAAGTTTAAGGGGAATGCCGGCTTAATGGTTAAGGTGTCAGCTCCTCTCATGGATTAAAAGTGGGTGCATATGTAATATTGATTTCTTGAGCAAAAACTTACATATCTCTTTGGACAAATTGGACATGATTTTGTAGAATTTAATAAAAAAAAAAGGATAGCTTCCTCATATATGATATGAAATATCCAAACTCCCTTGTGGAATTCCAACCCACAGCAGTAAGGGGCATTAGGAATTTGAAGGCAGTGACCTGAACCACTCAGCCAAGGGGGCCATTGTGTTCTGTTGCTGAGAACATTATAACTGCTTGAAGTTATTTGGCTGCAGCATAGAACGTTAAAATTTGATTTCATCAGTAAATCGGCATTTAATTTTCCCATTTAGATAATGCATTGCAGTTCACACTCATATCTTTGTTAGGAAATGGTTTGAAAAATATTGCCTAATCATATGGAAACATATTTCTAATTTTGTTTTACTGGCCAGTGGTTAATGAGAATTTAATATGTGAGTGATGTAATCAGGTGTCAAATAGGTCAATATATTAAATCAATAATTTGTAATGAAATTGTATGAGCCGTTTTTACAGCAATTTTGTGATTATTTTTTGTCCCATTAGATCTATGTGAGTAATGTTCCCCCCCTGTGTGTGTGTAATAAAATTGAAATTGATTTTTGTTTTAGTCTTTTGCCATATAGCTTAGAAGACATATAGCTTATGATCACATAACCAACAAAAGGCAGGGTGGCTGAGTGGTAACACATCGGACTATAAGAAATCTAAGGATTGCTAACTGTGTGTGTTCAAACCCTGTTAGGGGCAAGCAGTTGTTTCCTTGAGCAAGAAACACATTCATTGCAGGATCAGATTCAAGAGTGTTATAGCTTCCAACACAATCAAACTAAAATAAATTTGTATAAACTAAATTAGCAGATGTGAAACTTAATTATTTATTGTTAGTCTGTCTGTTAGCATGAATGCAAATAATCAAAATTGTACAAAAAATTTAGACCAAACTGTTGAAATGACTGATCCATTAAATTAGCAAGTAAATACAGTAACTGTGTCAAATAACTTTTCACAACTGATTGATATACTGGTACTATGTTGATAGTCAAAATTTAACTTCAACCACTAATGGAATCCAAAGTAAATAAAAAGACTTGATGCTGCAAGGAAACTGGTATATAATGAAATCTGTGTATACTTCTACTCCAAGGGGAAGGCATGGTGGCCTTGTTGGTTTGAGCCCTACTTGTGCCACAACCTGACAACCATGGTTACTTGTTATGGCACCAGTACTGGTTAACATTGCAGCAAGTGGGCTTGAAAGTGATTAATATTGATTGCCGTGACTTGTTCCACAGGTCACAATCAAGCCAAAGCTTCAAGTTTATTGTTTAAGCTAAAATTAATTAATCTAAACTACTTTTATTTATTTCTTTTGTTTATTTTCAGTTGGATGATGCTATTGAAACATGGGACCCTACAAGCACAAAAATAGGTTAGTGAGTTTTAAATAAATTTTTGAAAATGTTTATATGATGTAATCAATCATCATTATAATTATCATTATTGAAATCATCATTATTATTAACATCTTCATTGAAATTTTTCTGGATGGCATTCTATAAGTAGTTTGAAACATAGGATATTCCTATTACTTGATTGGTTGATTTTCAAAAAAGGATTAACCAATCACAAGGCTGTATTTGAATTGTAACCTCTTTGTTAAACTTAATTTCATTAATTATATAGATAGTCAACCAAAAGTTTTTTCAACATCAAACTAAAATATTTAGCAAAAACTGTATCAATGTATTGATATGAATGAACTTTTATCTTTGGAGTATGTACATATGTTTATAATGTGTTGTTGAAGCCATATGTTGTAGTCAAAAGAAACCTATAAACATAATAAATTCTTCAAAATGAAAACAAATATTACATCAAGAAACTGAAATTTAAGTTTTACTGTTAAGTACCTGCAATCAGGTCAAACTTCAAGGTATATTTGGATTTTAGAGTGTCAAAAGATGATCTTCACAAAATTTTATATCGATCTTCACAAAATTTATTACGCTACAAATATGAAATAGATACTTCATACCAAAATCTGATAAAAATGAATTATAAAATATAATTTGCATTTAATGTATGATAGTTTCTGCACATCCAAGGTAAATTATTTTGTAATTCAAAAGATATTTAATGTAGATTCTGAGATAAAATGCAGGCTGCATAAACCTTGTTTAGCTTCATTGGTAGATAATAAAGTATTATTTGAAAAGCATTATATATATTTTGTAATTTAAAAGATGTTAGTTAAGGCGTCTAATGAATGTTAATTTTAATGTCTTCTTTAAAAAAAAATGGGTAGAATATGCTGAAATATTAAAAATAAGTCAGTTTTAAATCAATAAATATATAACAAATATATTGCAAAGTTGTAACTTTTTAAATTTCTAAAGTATGTATTTTTCTGTAAGTTTGTCAGTGTATTTTTTTCGCTAAGGCCTAAAATGAACAAAAAATATCAAAATATGTTTACTGGATAATTTATCCAATGAAATTAAAATAACAAACAAAAGAACAAAGTAAATTTAGGAAGTTGCAAACAAATAATAGTTTAATTGAGCATAGTGTTTCATTGCCTGTAGTTGTAGGCCAATACTCTGATAACAATCTATTTCCTATCAGGTAATTGTGAAAATTAACAGTTGCCTTTACCATACATTATGCTTATGTTTGATTTAACCATTAGATATATGAATGGGTTTAAAATATGGTCATTAATTAATTAAAAGTTTGATTATGATAAGAAACTACACATTGATAATAGATTTATCTATAGAAATAAATGTCCTAAGACAATGAATTTGATTATAGATTTATTTATAGAAATTAATGTCCTTAAACAATGAATTCCACAGTAAATTAACAGTATCAGGAGATTTGCAAGTGTATTAATACCACCACAGCCCATATAAATTTTAGGAGCCAAATGCTGATTGCACCGGCTGTCTTACTGGGACTTGAACCTTGATCCACCGACTTAAATGTCCGACATGAATTTGCCGGGCAACCTATATCTTGCCTCTATCTAAAATAAACCTTAGATTCTTGCATGATATCTCATTCTATAAAAAAGGTCATATTATAAGCTCTTTATATCCTCATTTCTTTATTTATCAAAAGTTTCTTCCTTTAAAGGAAGTCACAATATTTTCACAATTAGTTTAAGGTTGTTTGTTGACTAACAGTTACAATATCCCTGGGGTAATTAGCTTTAAATTCAATAGATTATTTGGCAATTTATGAAAACATGACCTGCAAGGATTGCCCTGTTTATTTTCTTACATCAAAATAATAAATACCTTATATTAAGATAGTTATCATTTAAGACGTTTAATCCATGACATCCCAATGGTAATAACTAATTGACTTTGCTTTGGTTACAAGGAAGGATAAGTTTGACCCTCCCCAAGCTAATATATACAGGAGACTGAATATAGTGACTGGGTATACTCTGACGAATTGTGCTGAAAAAAGAAGTTAAAAACTTTCAAGGGCTGAGATTTTTATGTGATGGTGTTACAGAGGATTAAGACATAGTTGTACATTTCATAACATTATAGGAACCGCCTCCGTGGTCGAGGGGTTAGAGTCGATAACTTTTAATTCAGTTACCTGAGTCTCTGGCTTTGGTTCGATCCCCGGGAGATGCTTTGGTAGTTTAGCACGGAGGAAGGTAGTCTAGTACTGGTGTAACTCTCCAGGAACGATGGTTAGGAAACTACCCGCCTATATGACTTAAATACTGTTGGGAAAAGGCGTAAAATGAAAGGAACAAACAAACAAACATAATATTATAGGAATTAAATGAAGTCCAACCATAACCACTGGGCCATCGAGGCATGAGTCTGTTTCGGATTGCCACTGTCACCACCCGTCCACAAGGGCTTTTGTTAAGCAATTTCCACCATAATGACTCGGTGGCCTCAGTTTAAGCAAGTTTGATCTCCCCACGTAACCGCACAGCTATGGAGGCCTCAGTTTAAGCAAATTTGATTTCCCACCTTAACCACATGTCCACAAGCAAACTTGGTCTCCCACCATAACTACACAGCCATGGAGGCCTCAGTTGAAGCAAATTTGATCTCCCCATGTAACCACATGGCCATGGAGGCCTCAGTTAAAGCAAATTTGGTCTTCCATCATAACCACACGGCCATGGAGGCCTCAGTTTAAGCAAAATTGGTCTTCCCATGTAACTTGACATGGCCATGGAGGCCCCAGTTTAAGCAAAATTGGTCTTCCCATGTAACCATATGGCCATGGAGGCCTCAGTTTAAGCAAACTTGATCTCCGGTCATAATCACTTGGCCAATTATTGGAGGCTAAATTTAAAACATTTTTGATATTAATTTAACCATCATTCAATGTCAACATCCTTATAAATCAATTAGTATAACTTGAAGATAGTATGTTAACCTCTTTACCGGGCATTCATCACAACCAAAGTCATCTATAATATTACAGCAATGTATTTTACAATCAAATAATTTTTTTATCGATGTTTTATAACATTATACATTTAAATTGCACAGTCTTTTTTTCAATTCGTGAAATATTTTAATATACATGTATTTTATTTTCTTACCATTTTTGTAGTGTAATTAAAGGTCTGAAGGAATATCTAAATTTCAATTCACATAATTTTTGTCTTGTTGTTATTGCTATGTCAAAGCAAAGATGATGTGCAAATTTTTTGTCTCATTATGAAATTTATTATACGCCCCTTTAAAGGTAACTCTTTTATATAAGTATAATGGCTTTATTCAATGGTCCAGAGTTGTCTAGTATTCTTTAGTATTTGAATTTCTTATTGTAACTATATACATGTAGATAATTCTCAAATAAATATATAAATATTTATAACAAACTATTCCGTGATTAATTAACGTCAAGTTATCAAATCAAAACAAAAAGCTCGAACAATTAACAAGTTACGAGTCCTGTTATGTAAACAGTGAAATTTTATGACCGCCTATTGTCAAAACTGTCAATAGGGATGTCAAAATATGGGTGACGATATCACATTTAGTATAATATATCATGTCTAAAGACACGGGTCAGCGATTTTTCACGTTTGGTCAACAGTAGGTCAAAGATAGTCAAAGGTTTAATTGTTATATTGACCACTTCAATTTGAAAAGTTTTTGATCAGTGATGTGGAATAAATGTTTTAATTAAAAATCGGTGATTCATTAATGAATGTTTGACAGAGATATTGGATGGCTCACTGAGGTGTTGGATATTAAAAGCAATCTCCGCTCTTTTTTTTTAGAGAAAATATTGGTGATAAAATTTTATATTAACATTTTATTTTCTTATGAGTTTAAGTTATTCAGTGAAATTGTTTTTTTGCATAAAAAACTGGCATGCTTTGAAAGAAATTTGGAAATCAGTTGAGGAAATTACTATAAAGTGATAAATAACAGGAATTATAATATCGTTACCATTTCAATTTTTCTTTTACTTGATCTGTACATGTAAGTGGATTTAGTATATTTTATTATCTTATTATATAAATATCAAAAATTGAAAATCATTTGATATAATTATTATCTTTGTCTTAAATTTTATTAAAAGAAAAGCAATGTGATGTTCATGCAACTAATATACATGTATATAATTTTATGGTGTACAAAAAAATGATATTGATGATAGAGTAATATTAGTTTGAACATGATTTATTTTGCTCTATTGTGAAGACAGCTAGTAAATCGTTTAAACCACTCATTATAGAGTACACATCCTGGAAATAACTCATACTGGTGTCATAGGGAGCAAACATGGTCATGACCCCATTAGGGCTCGGATCCATGATCTATGGGACAAATTGACTGGCACCTTAACCATTCAGGCCTGTGCATCCAATAGTAATAGATAGAATTAAGTGATATAAGATGTTAATTTAAACACATTTTCTTAACTGTTTTGAGTATTAGGTGCAGTAGTAAAAACATGTACATGTTTGCACATCGAGTGCAATATTTCGCCATTACATGTCCAAAATTTCTTAATATATGCATATTTATGCATGGCCAGAAACATGATTTAAATTTATCAAACAATTCAAACTGCCTCAAAGTTTACTTCTAAATTATTAATATTCATGTAGGATTTATTGTGTGGTCAAAGTTCATGAATTCAAAAACTGGATTTTTATAATCCCTTTGGATCCTTGCAAGTACAGAGTCACTCAGCCAGCAGTCTGCAAATCTCTGCAGTCTGATAGGCTTTCTAGTGTTTGTTGCATATTTTTCGTATTTTCATACATCATGACATCCCTTAAACAACTAATGGACTGTTTCAAAATTAAAGTAGGGAAGATCTGTTATAGCGAAACATTTTCATTCTATACTTATAACTATATTCTCTAAAATGCAGAATGAGGTTAGAAAAAGCAGAATTTGGCATCGTCATGCAAGATCTTTGTAGACTGTGTCCATTTTCCATGGATCTTTTTGGTAGACAATAGTTAAACAAGACATTGAAAATCTGTTTTGTTCTTCATAGCTTTAGATTTAAATTGTTAAAATTGGGGAAGTATCTCTTTGGGACAGCAACAGGTTTACTCCAGAGCTTCCATTACCTGAAATAAGGCATATCAGAAGCACCTAGAATTCATTTCAAATAACCACCTCTTTTCAATACTCCTTGCTTTAAAAGGCCAAAATGTGAGCAGGCTAATAGCCTGTATGTTAACTTGTATAATACTTGTTCTTTCGAGATCAAAGCTCTCTTTTTGCTCAGTGTCATTAATATCATTTTGAAATTGATAAAAGTATTTGAAGTGTTCGTAATTATGTTTTCATCTTTGCTTTAAAGTTAGGTCAAAAGAGCAATACCTTTCTCACAACTTTCTCAGAAGTTGTGATGACATATATTTATTATTAATCAGGCATTTTCTTTTTTCTGTACAAAAGTTTGTTTTCATATTAGGATTAAGCGATGTTTACGAGGGTGCCGTTGTACAAATACTTGACTGTAAATACGAAAATAAAACAGTGTTTTTGTTACAGATTTTCATTTCTGATATCACAAGGTCCAAATTGTCAATAGTGCGGCTAGATCTGTGATTTATATTGTTGATAAATCGGGGAAAATCTCTCGCAAATAGGCCGCTTTAAGTCGTACGACTTTTTGCCTTGTCATTTAGGATATTGGCCATAACCTTTTGGTCAATTGAATAAAAACGCCATATTTTTGTAAAATATTAGCCTACATGCAGATGAGTGGGTATTAAGCAATTGTGTCCCTGCCTATTTTTAGTGTACGCATTTGTGCTGGTGAACTTGCCTCGTCATAAAGTCAAATATTATTGTAAACACTGGCGATTTTGTCTGAATATATGAATCAAAATTTCTTATTATGAAACTTTCTCTGTCAATTAAGTTTTCATTAAATAGAATTGTCTTGCTTGAAATTGTTTTGAAAACTACATATCTAAATGAGATAACAGTGTTATCGATAAGAGAACTTAATTCTTACAATCAAGGAAACAGCAGTGTTGACAGACTGCATGACATTAAAATTACAGGCTAGCCTGCATGGTTTTACACTTATCATATCTAATATCTAATATGGCCATCATTTCACACGAGTTATAACCCTTGGAATTCTGGAACCAAGATTGAAAAGACTGCCAACAGAGTGAAACCATTGGCAAGCCTTTATTAACTTGCTTTTTGATTCAACTTCAAGTTTTCATCTTGACACCCCTGAAATGAAAAAAAGACAATTCCAAAATTGGAAACTGCAGGACACATTCAGTATTGCAAAGTTAATCCTTAGCCAGCACATGACAACTAAAATCTAACTATAGGACCGGTGTAGACCAAGATCAGCTGGTACTAATACTTGCTACTGATCATAGTCTGTACTTTTCGCTATTAAGTCTATATGTACAATGTATTTTGAAATTTTCATCAAAAATAATGAGTGGTTTTGTCTAGATTGAAAGATGTACAAGTCCATTTAAGATATTTAGGGTGTTAAGGGTTACCTGAATGATGATATCATCATTACATCATCTTGGCTTGACTTTGTATTTTGGAATTTATTTAATTACCACAAAGGGAGATATTTTTACCACACAATGAGATAGTTTGATATCAAAGTTTAAACTTTGAGCTGACCTATCAGTAATTTAGAATGTTGTATCAAAGTCAGAATTGTATCATTTTTGTGGTGAGGAGAAAGAGTATGATAAAACAATTTTGATTTGAAGTGATAATGGAAGATATATATAATCAGTTTAATAAAAAACAACAAAAAAAAACAACAATTTTTACAGCTTTCCACATTCTGTTTTCTTCAGAAAACAAAATAAAATAATAGAATAAAATGACGCTCATAGAAATACCTTTCCCATTTTACCTATTAAACCACCATTTACACTTGTAAACGTCAACTTCCCCTCACACTGACAATTATGGCAGTCTGATCCAAGTTCCTTACCCTCTGAGAATTTCATACAGTCTGACTAGGCTCAACATACGGTACTTCAAATTTTCGTCTATATATCCCAAAATTGATAATGGGACAGTTCCTGAAAATGAAGCTGGACAAGTCTATTTGAGAAATTCATCCGGTTTAGGGTACATTTACAAATTTAGCAGTGTAGATTAATTTTTAAAAAACTGCTACTTGCGAACTGTAAAGCAAATGATTGGATGATATTTAGAGTCCATTATTTAAATTGACCAATCAGAATAGCTTATTTCAAGGATAAAATATGCATAAATGCATGAACATCGTAAACATAAATACTACGACTTGAAAATTTTAATTTTATGCACTATTGAAATGCGGGTATATTTTTTTTGTTGCTCAACCTTTGCATTCTTTACTATAATGTAAAGTTGATATTTGGATATCTGATATTACTTTATAAAATCTAATGAATTTTTAAAGATGGTATTTATCAAATATAGCCTATTGTATATTTACCTTCTATAAAAATATAAAAGGTATCGAATTTTGGCATTTTTTTGTAAATGAAAAATGTTCCTTGAATCGAATGTATTTGAATAATCAATAAAAGAACTGAAAACTTAATATTGCTTTACACATGTATATGGTGATAAACCTTGATAAATAAAAGTGCTTCTAAAATTTGATCTGATTCTTAAGAAAAGTCCTATTTCTATGTAAGATTTTAAAGGTACTTTTACAAATTTGAGGCAATTTTTTTTAAAACATTACCAGTTTTAACTTTATTTGTCACAGTTCACAGTATTGGGTATAAATAACAATAACATTAAGCAATAAATAATGCTAAATACTGATAATGACCAAAAAAAAATTCATCTTTTAAACTTTTTTTAAAAAACAGGACTTGAAAATCCTTTTGTACCAGTGTTATAAAATCATCTGTTAATAAACATATGCCATTATGTTTGTATCACTAGTGACTTATATAAATAACAACCGAATATGCACATAATTAAAAAAAAAAAACACAAATATTTTTTGCAGAATAGTGCCTTTAAAATCTTAAGATGGGTATAATAGCATAAAATAGAGGCGTGACACGAATATTAAATTTTGGTAAAAGCGGTTTTAATGATAGTAACGTCATTAGACGTATGATTTAAATATAACTAATTATGATGATAAGATGTTTTGATGTCGTGTAGAATTACCCATCATTGAAATGTATAATATATCATTACCGTTTGACTAAGGTCGGAATACCCTCGATGATGCTTCACAGTGGATTGGAAGCAGATATTGTCGTCTTAATGTAGTCTTAATATCGGTTAACTGAAAAGTTTTTTATTTCATCGGATTAATTCATTTTAAGGTACGATTATTTATATAATATTGACAGGTTTTTTTCAAGTGCCACTCTCTCATATTATCAGTTTCAGTATACGTACAAAAGATCATTTGTTGTAATATTATTTGAACAGGACAACAAAAAAATAAAGCTATGGATATTTTGAAATAAAGCCGGGCTCAAGAAACATATTGATCCAAAAAAGTGGAAACGGGAGTGTTTTGTATCTTTTCATCTGTCGTCATCCGTAATAAGTTTAATCTCTTTCCTCGCGCATTTCCTGCATGTGTATTGTTAAAATGTGCATTTTTTGTATTTTGTTTGTTTCATGACATGCATTGCATAATTTGCAAGGGATGTGATTTGATTTTTTGTCAGTAATTTGTTTTACAGACACCTTAACATTGAATAGTGAAATGCAGTTGCAAATATCAGTAAATGAGATTTAATTATAGTAATGTTTTTTTAACAGATCATTCTTAGTAGTTTTTCAAGACTGAACCGACAAATTTAATTTTTTCTTCTTCAGGAAATCTGTTTTCAAGCAAATATTGGAACCTTTATGAAGAATACGCAGACGGATATAGTGCAATAAAAGGGTATGTATATTCTAAGCTGATATTTCTGGTCAGTGCCCAAAGTTAAAGTGTAAATAAAGCTCTATATCAGATACCTGTAGTGGACAAAATTACTCTTCAAATTTTGAAAAAAGATATTCTTCAAATTTTGAAAAAAGATAATTTTAAAATACCTGTATAAGAGAAACATGTTTATTTATATTTCTTCTAGAGCGAATTGCATATGCATGAAATCCGAAAATGCTGAATGTTTAAAAAACCAACTTAAATAGCAGCATAGTGTTTTTTTGGGAACATTTTTATTATGTTTATGTACAATTCATGTCTATTAAAATAATAGAGACATTCTATTTTGCAACTTTTTTGAGAAGCGACCCTATAGGACTATGAAAACAATATAATTTTAGCGTTCATGAATTTTCTATAAATATTTCATGAGATCTAGCTTGATTTTACCCTTCAACAAGTTCCAAAAATAAAACCAACAATTTCTGTTGTTTTCTAAAAAAAATTGCCTCCCATGTCTGGACTGTATACATTATGTTGTTCTAAAGGTTAATTATGTTATGTTTACAATACGAAAATAGTGATAACCCACCTGTTGCAAATGTAAATACACAGAAATTGACATGACCAACCTGTAGATGTTATATATATATAACAAACAGAAATTGCTGACTGACATTACCTATCTCTTAGTTGAACAAATTGGCATATTATACCTCACAAATTGAAACTGTACAGCATTGATGTAGATATCAATATTGAATTACAGGTACTTATGCACTAGCTGTATTGGATCTGATTAAATCTTACGAAAAAAGGGCTGTATATTCTAGCTCTACTTTTGTAGCCTAAGATAGCCCCATTATGCTCAGGCACAAAACCTCCAACCGAACCCCCTCCAACTGAACCCCCTCCCAGGCTAGAGAATGATCTTAAAGTTGATACAGGCAAGAATCCAGAATTCTGTAGGCACTGTAACCACGGAGCCATGGAGAGGTGCGATGGAAGACTATTAAAATGGCAAATCCCTCTAGAATATGCACTACTCCTTGTAAAAAATTTGCAGGTCACCTCTAGTACTAGAGGTGACCTGCAAATTTTTTACAAGGAGTAGTGCATATTCTAGAGGGATTTGCCATTTTAATAGTCTTCCATCGCACCTCTCCATGGCTCCGTGGTTACAGTGCCTGTTTAGTAAACCGGAGGTCACGGGTTCTTATGACATTGAAATCTCAGATGGGTTTCACATACAAGCCAAACGCTAGATTCTCAACCCCCACCGCCATGACATCTGGGGATGCAACAATTAAATACAAATAGCAAGACATAGAAATTTTACTTAAAGAAAATTTATATTCATGCCATTTACTACGATGTTGGTAAAATCTTTATCAGATGACCTATGACGTATCCTAATGCAAGTTTTATATGTTTGACACTTTTATGCATTCCTCATTTTCAATAATAATTGAAGATACAAAAATAATGTCACATTTTAAACGCAGTTTCTAAATTTTTGCACAAAAAAAGTAAGACGAGCATTGTGTTTAAGGACTTTTTTCATAATTATGACATAAAATCATGTTATAATATTATATTATGACTTGGCTGTTATTGGTTGCTGAGTAACAGCCACTTTATATCTGTCTATGATTTGTTTGAATATGAATTTATTTAAATTTAAGTCATCCAGCTTCAATTTTTAACTTTTTCCTTCAAGCTCGATTATTAAGAAAACTTGCAGTCTATTTAAGCCACTCTTGACATGTGTTCATTTCCTGGAACTAATCTGTACTGGTGTCATATGAGAAAATACGATTGTGATACAGTAGGGCTTGAACCCATGATTCCTGGGCTGAGAGGCAGACATTTTTACCACTTGACCAGACTGCTTGACTCATCGAGCTTTGTTGAACACATTTTGGTTGTTGTAAAAAGATGCTGGCCTGTGTTAAAATAAATTGAGTGCGGAGTTCCTTTAAGTTTAAAACTAAAATTTTTCCTTAAGGTCCATCATACTGTAAAAGACCAAATGTAGAAATGCCTTATTTTATTTTTTCCAGAACTTTAGAGGACAAATATGAGAAAGATGATTCATTTGTAGAGTTTGTCGAGCTACGTAGAGGAAGTGCCGAGCTTTCACTTGAAGATCTCCTACAACTACCTGTAAGTTACTGTCATTATGTTATTTGTTTGCTTGGACTTTAAACACCCGATTTTTACAGTATTTATAGCAAATATTATGTCTATATATACAATGTATATACAAGCAGTCACAGTTGTATGGCGTATCTCTACAGGGGTATATAAGATTTTGCCTAAAAATAATATATAAGTTATAGAAAGTCTCCAGATATAATTATGCAAAAATGAGATGGTTGCAGTTGTAGATTGGAGCATGCACCTTCTAGCACATAGGCTTTCAGATATTCTCTCTAGTTATGTCCCTTGCAGTTACCAAATGAATGATGCATATAGCTTACTTAGTAATTGTTGGCAGGGGGGTCATTATTTTGTTATTATAAGAACACAAATTCTGGTTATACCAAAACTTTCTTCTTTATAAAAGTTAAGTGATGTGAATGTAAATTTCCATGTTTTTTAGTGAATCTTAAAAAGGTTCCCACAGATGGGCTGACTGGTCTGGACAGGTCACATAGGTAGAGCCTGTAGTTGACAGCAATCTTAGGGTTTAAATATGATAAAAAAAAGTTAAAAAGAAAATTTAAATATGGGAAGGTTTTAGTGTGCTTAGCCTAAAAGTTACATTCTTACCCCCTTCAGTGTTAGGATAAAGACTTTAATTCACTGGTGTTGAAAAAACATGTTACAAATAGTAAACTTATTAAATTTTGCTCTAAAAAAAAATATACCCATATAATAATCCTATCTCGTAATATATGTAAATCACAAATAATGTAAATTTAATCATTTTGATCAAATAAGTATGAGTTTATGTGCCACAAAAGAGATAAAAGGGACCATTTTGTACCGAGCAGTAAATTAGTTTGTACTTTGTAATGACACAGACTGGTACCAAGTTTTAACATTAACCCTTAAACTGCTAGAACGATAAGTAATTAGCTTTGAAGTTTCTAATTGCCACCAGTATAGAACCAGACCAGGCTCAATTTTCATATTTTGTTATTAAAATCCCTTTAATTTTGAATGGATTGTCTTAAATTAAAAACTAGAAAAATTCGTTACACGATGATGGCTGTGGTAATGGCATTGTTTTGCCTATGTAGCCAGTATAGAGCCAGGAGAGCATTTGGGGGCCATAAAGTCTGCCTAGACTCTACACGGTCCAGGCTGCTTTTTTGTAAGTATTTTTTATCTACCGCTAAATATTTTAAATGGAAAGGTTCAAATTGGACAATTACCATTTTTTAAAAAATTTTTGGGGAAAATTTCAAAATCGGTGAAAATTACCTAACATGTACTTGTGAAAATTTCGTTAAAAATTATGCTAATGGAAATTTGTCCAGGATGCTTTTCTACATGTAGAAAGATTGAGTCATTTTATACAAATGTCTCTAAAGGTAAGGGTTAATAAAGGTCAAAGATTCTCATGTAACCTTATAAGTCTATACATGTCTATCTTGCTTTAGATCTTTATGCTTTTCCTGTCCTAAACATCTTTATCTTGAAAGTTTTTATTATTTATCAAAGTTGATAATTTTCTTTTTTTCCTTTATAAGGATTGAATTGGAAAGTTGTTTTTTGAAAACTTTGTTTTTGAACTTCTAATTTCATTTTAAAAATTTTTAGTAATGTAAAGGTTCCAGGAAAATTTAAATACTTGCCCTAGGTTTTAATTAACTTCTAATTTAGGAAACTTTGATAGGTTTTAAAATGGCTACAGCTTTCAGGCCCTCGTCATATTATTGAGCTGGCCAAGCAAAAAATTATTATAGAAATCTGATTGTGAAATCTCTTGAAGTGTCTACAGACTGTTTCAAATTAAAAGTAATGACATGTCCGTTACACAAGTCAAGCCGGGTAAAAGTTAAATGCCCAAATGGGACCAGTCTTACGTGTTTATGAAATTGATCATCTGAGTTAAATGGATGCATTTAACAAACATTACCATAATGTATACAAACATACAATAATGTATGCAATTTTGAAATAAGATATTTTCCTTTCTGTTTTTGGTGTCATAAAAAAAGATAGGAAATTCTGTCAACTATATTTTGGAAATGAGATATTCTTCTTTAATGGCCACATATGGTGCGATTTTGATATAACAAAGATATCATTGTATATTTAACCGAAATTGAGCATTCTTTACTATGTTTTCAAAATTGTAAAACTATACTGTTTTTTGTGATTATATTACAATCATATTGATAGATGTCAGCTTCATAAAGAAAATAAGAATGCTTCGTTAAATATAACACCATACTTGTTACTTTGTTCCTGTTAGAGAAATAGGTAGCTATGTTTAAATAATTTATTTGAAGAATTCAGTTTTATTGATCTTTGAAAGTTTGTAAGTAATGATGATAATCTGATTTTGTTATGGTTTTATATATTTTTTTAATGTCCTTCCTCATTTTGTGACTTATGTTACAAATGTCTACTTTCTTTTTCTTCGAAGCTAAAATTAACCTTGTGGATAGGGTTACTTTTATGATTTTATGATCAATCATGTATAAGTGGCAAAGGGCAATAACTCTGTTCTGCATGATGATTCATTGGCTATTGTTTGATCTTGATTTAAAATTTGAAATTCCTGGTGGAAAATGGAAATGTGGGGGTTTTGGGAAAATTTGAAAATAAAATTCCCCAAGTTTTTTAATTTTGGAAAATTTTTAAAAAAATTTTTTTATACAAACCCCCGGGTTTTTTGGGGCCCAAATTTAAAGTTTAGATAAACCCGTACAATACAGGGGGGCATTAGGTGGCAAATTTTAATTATAAGAAAAGACCCGTTCTATAAAGACCCCTCCCTTTGTTTAATTATAGTTAGCAGTTTTTTAATCCCGGGAGTTTTTAAAAATATTGGGAGGTTTACTGTTAAACTGATATTTTAAAAAGGCCAAATTAAATTTTTTAAATTTTTTCCCGAAAAAATTTTAAAAGGGGGGGGCATTTTTTGTAAGTGAATCTTTCCGCATGGCCCAAAAGTTAAACAAAATTTTAAAAACCAGAAAATTTTACCCTGAGGAAATATTAGCGAATCATGCAAGGTTAGAATTTAATAACAGGTTGGTTGATATTTAAGCTAGATTTTTGTCAATTCACGAAGTTCTCCATATTTTTGCGTAGCTTACATTATAAGCATCTTACACTGGCGGCTTGTACAGACCGGAATATCTAGTTCGGGGGTAACTTTTTACGGTGGTAATGAGGCTCTTACCGAGATTCCGCTAAACAGTTACCTGAGAACTAGATATTCCTGTCTGTACCGACAGCAGGCGTTAGATTCTTTTTCTTGCATATTACATGTCAGATATTTTCGGAACAACAATTATGAAAACTAATATTCTCATTACGCATCTTTTTCTTATAATAGCGTATGTACTTACAACTTCATTCATAAAGGTACAATGATGTCATCCTAAGAAACAACATTCATTCATAAAAAGGTTTCTTGTTAATAAGGGATGGGGACTTTTCTTTCATTTGGGGGTGTAAACAGAGTTTTTTGCAAAACCCGGTTTTTTAATGGAGATTTAAACCCGTCCCGATTGCCAAAAAACCCTTTTTTTCGTAGACTTTTTTTTTCATGTTATAAACATTTTTAGGGTTTACGAAAATAAATTGAAAAGTGAGTAGATCTGTGACCTATGGATATTATGGTTTCTAGTTTACAAATATGGCCTTAAACACCAGTTTGACCGTAGATGAAAAACTAAACAATTACAGATATTCTTAAAATAAATATTTTGATCCCAAAATATTTTGAAGTTTAGTACAGTCATCAGTTACAATGAAATTATTTTAAAGCTATTATTTCTGAAGTACGGTTTTTACAAGTAGATTATTTCGAAGTGGGCTGCAGGCTTTTGAAATTCGAACAAAACTGTCTCGGTCCTTCAGTTTCAATGAATTATGACATTGAATGTCACACGGCTCTTTGCTCCCGAATTTATAAATTTTAATGTAAATTCCGCGAGCTTTTATTACCGTACAAGTGTTAGTTTACTTAGTAATTTATGTTGGTCGTAAACAGTTGCTAAATAGTTTTTAATCACTTGTTATTTTAATATGTAGAGATTTTCGCTCCACAGTCTGTTATGAAACCATACGAAGGTGCAAAAAGAATCTAATATTTACATAAACTTTATGTATTTTCTTTGCTATTGTGGTGTTTGAAAGTGTTACGTAACAGTTTTTGGACCGTCTGCTTGTATTTTTCATTAAGATTGAGCTTGTTACACAAAGATATATTTATAAATGTTTTAATTGTGTGGCCCAAAGTATTGTTATTTATAGACTGATAATGATTGAAAAATTTATGAAATTCTGAGTGTCTAAATAATTGCAATATTGAATACAATTAATATATACAAGCACAGACATTTTGAAAAAAAAAATTAAAATTGATTAAAATTTAATAAATTATAAATTTATTAATATTTTTAGCAAAGCTCATCATACTTCATTTACTAATAAGATAATTAATGATTAGTATAGATGATGACTGACTGGTTCAACTTAAAAAAGACAAAGAACTCGAGCAATCCAAATACTAGTAAATAGTGAGCTAAAGGGGGTTAACTCTCTCAATTAAAATTGTTAGAAATTTCTTGAGTTTTCTCCCTTACATTACATTTTTTATTCCTTTTGGCAGCAGTGCATTATTTAAATAGTGAAATATTAAGATATTTCTGCAATGTCAGTGAAAAATTTCTGCAATTTCAAAGGAATTGATGACTAGCAACACATTATACATCAATTGCAAAATATTTACACATGAATTAACACATTATTCTAGATGGGGCATCAAATTTTGATAATGACACCCTTGTTGATATATATCATGTAATCTGAACCATTTCAAAGGCAAAATTATTGTATTTGGTAAAAATGTAGTCTAAAAATAACCATTCCTAAATTATGATTCAGACACTTAATTTTTCTTACACAACCCACATAGTTATATAACTTACATACATGTAGTTTTATCCAAATTTGAATTAACCAATATATATTTT